CCTGCTGCCAAGTCTGATGACCTGAGTTTGACCCCCAGAACCTACATGGTGGAAGGAGAGAACCAACCACGGTAAATTGACCTTTGAACTCTACAGGCACACTGTGGCATGTACATCCCCATCTATAATAAAAATACAAATAAGTAAATTTAATGTTTTTCCTTTTAAAAAGCCTCGGTAGCCAGGAGTCTTCTGGCCCTAGAAAAGAGTTCAGCAAACCTCAGATCCACTTGCAATCACGCAGGCCGGAACAGGCACATGCGATGGAAAGGACTGGCCCAGTGTCTCATGGGAACTGGAACTAGAGACCACACTCTGCTCCCAGCTTCTATTCCACTGCCCAGAACTGAAGCCCAAAGGGGATGGGGGTGGGGACATTGGATCCCAAAGACTGCTATAAATGCCTGGAAAAGGAGAGCGACATGCTACCCCGGGATGGTAGGGAAGGAAAAAACCAGGGGAAAGTCGGGCGTTGAGACAGCCACCCACCCTACACCCAAGGCCCAGACTCTGCGGACTGACCCACCCACGAGTTCTAAGGACCTGGCTGTTTTCAGGCAAAGCAGGGGGGCCTCAGCTGCTCAAGATCAAGCGAGAGGCCCAGGGAGAAGCAGCCAGTAGCAGCGGCGCTCCAGGGCATCAGGTGAGCAGACCCTCCCACCCAGCCGCACCAGCTACAAGCTCACCTGCACAGGTGTCCTCACAGGCCTTGGCCTTAGGCGGGAAGCTCCCAGTCTATTTCCGGCCTCTGATGCCCAAAGCAGTGGTTTTCCATTCACAGACAGGATGGAGCTTCCAGCCTGACTCAGGAGAGGAGAAAGGAGACAGTTAACAGTTGTTGGGACCCTTGACCCAGGCCATGCACGCGCGTGAGTGCACACACACACACACACACACACACACCATCCATTGCCACAGGCCACTGGGATCAGTGTCACTTCTCCCAGAAGCAATGGATAGGAGCAGCTGTTACAGGTGAGGCCCCTCCTTAGGGCCTCCCTCCTCCCGGCCTGGGGTCCCTCAGAAGCCTGGGCCCACCCAGCAACAGTCTCCCAAATCACAGCTGCACCTTTCAAAGAGAGATATTTAAAGATGTGGGGAGAGGGGGGCAAGGGGCCGCTTGGGCTTTGGCAGATGGCTGACTTTTTTTTGCCGGAGTGGGGGGGGGGAGTGGGGTGGGGGTGGGATGGGGGTGGGGTGGGGGAGTGGGGGTGCAGGCATAGGTGAGCAGTGGGGCGGGGCTTCCCCGGTTTCACCACCCAAAGCACACCAGCAACTGGAAACTGGTTTTCGGTTTTGGATTTTTCTAATTTCAGATCAACAAGATTGTGGGTTTGCAGTCATCTCAAATCAAATCAAATCTAAACATTGGGAGTTATTGTAGATTCATGGGGTGAAGAAGAGGGGGAAGGGAGCCTTGAGTCACATGACTTTTATGCGGCAGTAACTTAATGAGAAACACACCACATTCCCAGAACCCTCTTTCTAGTCTGGGCTCCCGCAGAGATAAAAGGTCACAAGAAGAGAAGGAGGGAGCAGGCGGGAGCCTGTGGAGCTGGGAGGCGCTGTTTGACTGGAAAGTAGGCCCAAATTTCATCCAAGCTGCTATCTGGCCTGATAGTCTAAACTGATTATTTTCTTTGAATGCCAGATGTGAAGAGCCTTCATAAAGGAACCTCAAACATCACCCGTTAGAAAACAAATCGACCCAAGCCGAATGCATTGCCGCACAAAAGGGAACTTTGCAATTCCAGACTGTAGGGGAAACCAGGCAGTCAGGCTGGAAAGAGACCTGGCTGGGACTCCACATCCCACGGCCTCCCTGCAGGCGAGTTCCACAGGGCCATGAGGGAGAAGGAAGGGAAGGCCCCCGTCAGCAGATGCACTCAGGGCCTCTGAAGATGCCTGGAGCCTCTGGTCTGCATCTCAGAAGACCCACAGTATGATCACTAACTTTGCGAGGGTGAGACCTCAACCGCTTTTACAGAAGAGAAATTGCACAGGCCTGCTGAGGGTCACCCTCTGGATGAAGCTGGCCGATCCAGCCTTCCTCCACACATCACTGTCTCTTCCAAGGGCCTGTGTCCACGGATCCCCATCTCAAAGCCCTGCTGCCCAGTCTGTGTACACACCTAGACTGAGGCTATTAACCCCTCCCCACACACTGTACTTCTGGGGACAGGCTTCATCCACACATCTTAAACAGCTAGGCCAGAGCTGAAAAAGACTTGCAGAGCTGAGACCATCTGGACCGCCTCTGGCCCCCGGGAGGCCTGCATCCCTCCCCCTGCTCTGGCTGTTCATATCTGCACCCCAGGACTGACTCCTGGGTACACAAGTTACTGGAGTCCAGTGACCCCCTAGAAGGACTGGGCCTGGTAAGGCCCTGCCACGTGAAGGACAGTGAAGTCAGTGTGAAGGACCTACCCTCCAGGGCCCTGGCAGCCAGGCCATGCTCTGTGCTCTCAGCTCCTGCTTCTGGAGAGTGGAGAGCCTCGAATGCTGTTGGTCTGAGGCTTGTCAAGCTTTTCAAGTGTTCCTTTCCGTGCTGAGTCCCTGTAAGGGGCCTACTCATCTCCCAGCCTCTTCTCTCCTCAGGACTCCTGGGCCAGTGTGCTCCCTCCCACCTCAAGGCCTTTGCATGGGGTTCTCGTCCATCATCTGTGCTTCCTCTGTGGTTGTGTGACGTGTGCATCAAGTCCTCCTCCACACAGCTCTCCTCACGTCCTCCATGCCCTGCCCCCTGCATTCCTCCAGCGCCCACCTCTCCGACTCACTCACCACTGGCCACCTTCCTGTCCTCAGTGCTCCTGGAAAGCACTCAGCAAATATTTGGCCACTCTGCTAATGGCTTGGCACGTACAAATAATTCCCAGTGTCGGGGCCATACTTGAGATCCCACCCATGTGACAGTTTGATTTGGGGATTGTCCCCAGGGCACCTAGAGACGGAAGGCTACTTTACTTCAGGGTTGGTTGGCCGTAAAGACCGGTGGCCAATCCAAAGAGGTGTCACCTGGCCATGACTGCAAGTGTGCGAGGCGCTGGACTCCACTAGTTTTCCTGAGTGAAGCCCAACGCTCCTGTTACCTGCCTGTGCCGGCATCTGAGCACCACCTAGTGGCAGCTGTTGGTCATGGCCTCCACCTACACAGGCCCTTCACACCCTTTTAGGATAAAATGGACACTGGAAAAACCCAGCTCATCTGTGCCCCCGACCCTTTGCAACCTGATCTGTAGAACCTTCCCTGAGCAGTCCCTTGGCTGCATCTACATATCCTTCAGGCACCAACCTTGCTAACTGTAAACCTGGCCAGGCTGATCTGGGGTATCTCTCCCGTTCCTCTTTAAAGCTAGAAGGACTCTATGATACACCAAAGGCAAAGTGGGAAAAAAAATGAGCAGGGGTGTCCAAAGACTTGAGTTCTAATCCTCTAGCTTTGCCTGAGAGTGAGGTGGGCTTGGGCAAACCATCGGAGAACCCCACCTGCCCCTGCCTTTGACAGCAGGATGACGGTCTCCATTCCTGATGCTGCACCATCAGGTGCTAAGCAAACATGTGACACTTCTTACCAAGAGGCCAGGGGAGAGCCAGGAGGACTGGACCTGCTCAGAGGCCAGGGGAGAGCCAGGAGGACTGGACCTGCTCAGAGGCCAGGGGAGAGCCAGGAGAACGGGACCTGCTCAGAGGCCAGGGGAGAGCCAGGAGGACTGGACCTGCTCAGAGGCCAGGGGAGAGCCAGGAGAACGGGACCTGCTCAGAGGCACGTGCTGCTCTTCCTCGCCTTGGCATAAGCTGAGCGCTCACCATCCTGCGGTGCCTTGCTCCCCACCTCCTGAACTGCCCCTCCTCAGGCGAAGCCTCCCTCAGTCTGCTATCAAGTTGACAGGGAGCCTGCCTCCTGTGGGGGCTCACAAAGGCTCCCTAATGAGACCTTACTCAAGGTCAGAGAATCTGAGCTTGCTTTACCCAACAGGGCTGCATAATGGGATGATTTAGCCACAGGTGTGGTTACCGGATATTTTGAAAGGTCTACACTTGGCTGTACATTGTGCTTTGATCTTGATAGGGGGAGGTCTTTTGCCTCTCCCCTTGGTAGTGTATAAAAAGCCCTTTGGAATAAACCTCGAGGTGAGTGAGTATTGACCCAGGGCCCTCCTGAAGCTATCCTGTGTCTCCATCTATCTATCTATCTATCTATCTATCTATCTATCTATCTATCTATCTATCTATCTATCTTTCTTTCTTTCTATCTATCTATCTATCTATCTATCTATCTATCTATCTATCTATCTATCTATCATTTCCTCATTCCTCTCTCCTCCCCACAAGAACCCTTCGACAGGTCGGAGTTGGACTCCCAAATATGGCACCCAGACGTGGAACTTGGGTACGAAGGATAAAAGAGAAGGAATACTGCAGGTTAAGTGGGCATGCTCAGAGTTAATTGGAGTGCGGTGATATTCTTTTCTTTGGGAGTAAAACTGTATGTAAATAAAGAACAGCGTTAATAGTAGAAGTTAGGCTGCAGCAAGTATCTCTATATCTATCTACCTACTAAGTTAGGTCTAAAGTTGTATATAAGTAAGTCATAAAAGTTTTGGTGAGGTTTGGGAAATATAGGCTTTGGGTCTAGGGATATGGTGAAGAAAGTAACTTAGGGTAAGATCAGGTTTTCCCTGGCGTGGGACTTGAGACACAGAAGGCAGCATCCAGGACCGAGCAGCCACTGTGGGCTTAGCAGTCAGAGTGAGCAGTGGCTTAGAAGCCCCCACCACAAGCAGCAGCAGCAGCAGCAGCAGCAGCAGCAGGAGACCTAGCATCAGCATGGCTGAGATCTGTGGGACATCACTGAGTCACAGGTAGTAGACACCCAGAGAGCCAGTGCCAGCAGCTGGGTTTCCTCTTTTGAACCCCTGTGGTGGAGGCGACAGAAAGCCCTCAGTCCCCAGGATACAGGGGTCTCTAGACTGGCAGGCCGGAGACAGGAGGCACAGATGGACCAGGACTGTAAGAGCTGAAATGGGTCAGAGTTAGCAGCCAAAGCCACAGTTTCTGTTTGCTGACTGCGAATAAACGCATGGCTCCTTTAAGAGATGGCTTCCTGGTTCATGCTGGCTGCATGGAGAACTCTTTCAAAGAGGTCTGCAGTGGCTCAGCTTTGGTAAAGGTGACACAACCTTCACCCTGGAGCAGATTTCCTAAGGGAAAGCTACTGTAAAGTGCCTCTGTAGCCGAGAGCAAAGTTTCAGAGACTCTTGTTTGAACTGGGTTGCTGCAGCCAAGGGAACTGCAAAGTTTTGGTAATGAGACTTTTTGTATTTGGAACTTTTGCTTCGGATTCATTAGGATTTGGACAGCTATACAAAGACTTCGGGGCAGTTGACAAGCCAGGCTGCTGTGGGATGTTCTGTGGGAGTCCGATCTCGGGTTCCTCGTGGCTTTACCCAGCAGGTCCGCATAGAGGATGATTAGGACCACGGGCCTGAGTGCAGGTGTCTGAGATGGTCTGCACTTGGCTGTGCTGGGGGATGGTCTGTATGTCAAGTTGCTCTGATTGGTCAATAAACAAAACACTGATTGGTCCGTGGCTAGGCAGGAAGTATAGGCGGGACTAACAGAGAGGAGAAATAAAAGAACAGGAAGGCAGAAGGAGTCACTGCCAGCCGCCACCCTGAGAAGCAGCATGAAAAGATGCTGGTAAGCCACGAGCTGCGTGGCAGGGTATAGATTTGTGGAAATGGATTAATTTAAGATATAAGAACAGTTAGCAAGAAGCCTGCCACAGCCATATAGTTTGTAAGCAAAATAAGTCTCTGTGTTTACTTGGTTGGGTCTGAGCAGCTGTGGGACTGGCGGGTGACAGAGATTTGTCCTGACTGTGGGCAAGGCAGGAAAACTCTAGCTACACCAGGCCCTAATCTTGAGCTTTCAGTGGAACATTAAGACTGGTATTAGAACTGATTTTTTGAACTTTTCAAACTTCAAAAATAAAACTGTTTTGTGTATGCATATATGTTTTATTAACTAAGGTGACTCACAAACTGCTTTGTGTAGAAATGGAGAAATTTGTTTTTCTACCCAGGCTGAAGATGTAGATTAAAAAGTTATAAAGAAAAGGGGGAGTTAATATTCCTCAGTCTAATTTTTTTGGGGAAAAAAAAGCATTTTCTTGTTCTTTGTATGGATAACATTAGCCTGTATTAATAACCCCTATGTTTTGTTAGTAGAAAATGTAAATAGTTCTATTAAGAAATTGCTTTTGAATGTTTGCTAAAGTTTATGAAGTGTAAATAGTTCTATTAAGAGTTTGCTTTTGGATATAAGTTTGTGAGAATTGTAATTATAGTACTATTCATGCTAGAATTATGATGTTAATCTGTTAATGTTAATAGTGTTGCTAAGGAGTCCTTAGATTTGATGTGGTTGCATCAGGAGTTTACTGATTTATTTGATGCAATTGCTTCAGGAGATTATTGATTTAAAAAAGGGCTTGGTACACTAAATCTGCTGTGGTCATCTTAGACCCATTCAAAAATGCCATTCCATCGTTATCACCCTCTACTCCTTTACTAGGAGGTATAGCAGCCTTAAGGAGCTGGAGTATTGCTATAATTATTCCAGCTACTTGCAAGCTCTTAATGGAAAGCTGATTCAGAGCTGCATAGAGTTAAGCTCTGTACCCGCACTTGAAACTTTATATTTTTAAGAAGGGGGAATTTGTGGGGCCCCACAGAGGCTCCATTTCAGGCTCCCACAGCCTGACCTGCTTCCACTCTGCCCCCCTCCTGTGAGGTAGAAATGGATTGCGCATAGTAAGACCTTACTCAAGGTCAGAGAATCTGAGCTTGCTTTACCCAGCAGGACTGCATAATGGGATGATTTGGCCATGAGCATAGTTACCAGGTGTTTTGAAGGGTCTACATTTGGCTGTACATTGTGCTTTGATCTTGATAGGGGGAGGTCTTTTGCCTCGCCCCTTGGCGTTGTATAAAAAGCCCTTTGGAATAAATCCAGGGCCCTCCTGAAGCTATCCTGTGTCTCTATCTATCTATCTATCTATCTATCTATCTATCTATCTATCTATCTATCTATCTATCTATCATTTCCTCATTCCTCTCTCCTCCCCACAAGAACCTTTTGACAGGTCAGAGCTGGACTCCAGCAGACTCCCACACCCTCCCCGTGGTCCCTGTAGCCTGTCTGTGTGCTCTTGACTCTTGAGTCCAGCACAGGGTCTTGTATGCAGTGGGCAGCCAAGCCCACTCCACGTTGACTCAAACACAAGCTGAGGAAAGTGCCCCCCTAGAGTCAGGAAAATGCCCTCCTGTGTTTTCTCCCACAGCCTGACCTGCTTCCGCTCTGCCCCCTCCTGTGAGGTAGAAATGGATTGCGCATCTCCAGGCTGCACTGTCACCTGCTGCCATGGCACCTGACTCTCAGGCAAACTGGCAGCTGACACTCCCTGCCTTGCAGCTCAAAGAATCTGGCAGCTGGAGCTCAGTGGCAGGGGGTGGGGAGAGGAGGAGGATGGGAAATGCTTCTCAGAGCCCCCATGGGAAACTCAGGTGCAACAAAAGACCCTGGCTGGGAACTGTCCTGGCAGTCCAGCTCCAGAACCCGCCCTGTGCTCTCCTAGAGGGACAGCTGCAGCTCAGCGAAGCTATGCCACGTGGGAACCAGACCGGAGCTGCCCGAGAAGCTGTGAATACAAACGGCTCTGCAAGAATTTCAATTATTGACTAACAACCTTTCAAAATTGTGAACAGGGCAGACAAGATGGCTCAGCAGGTAAAGGCACTTGCTGCCAAGCCTGATGATCTGAGTTCAAACCCTGGGACCCATATAGTGGAAGGAAAGAATTCAGTCTCAAGAGTTGTCCTCTGGCCTCCATAAACGTAATACAATACACACACACACACACACACACACACACACACACACACACACACACTACATTTTCCTAAATTAAAAATATAAGTAGATAAACAAAAATTATGAATACTGTGTGAGCCACATAGAACAACTCCATCACACACCTGTCTGATTTCCCTCTGACTGGCATCTTCAAAATCAATACAAGACACAAAGTCTTAAGTCTTGGGTTGAGGGGCTGTTGGAACTGGAGAAGAGGCTGTGGGAAAGACTGAGGAAAGCGGACAGCCCCCACCCCAGCTTCCCCACCCCCAGAATAACTGCGTTTGAAGGAGCTGGGGTGGAACCCGTGGGCTATAATTGGCTCCCACTTTGGGTTTTGGTTGATTACTTAAGAAAATGTGTTGAGGCTCATTTCGTTTTCCGATCTTGTACTACTTTAATGAAAATTTATTACCAGCAGCTTTCTGAACCGGAAAGGAAGAAATTGAAAATACACATCTGTGTATAAGTAAACAGACGTGTGGAATGAATACGTTCTTTAGATGAGATGCCTGAGTTATGCTTATGAAAAATGAATAGGGGGCCTTCAGCCTTCCACATGAAAGGAATCGCTCGCTGGTGGAGACAGCGTACAACAACGTGATTTTAAGGATGTGTTTGGGATAACCTGGGGCAGTGTAGAAAGCATTAGAATTAAAATCAAAAGATCTGGGGCCAAGAGATGGCCCAGCAGGTTAAAGTATCAGATGTGTGAGTCTGAACATCTAAGTTCAATCTTAGGGCCCATATTAAAAAAAAAAAAAAAAAGCCAGGTGTGGTATCTCTAATCCAAGCACTCCTCCTCTGGTGAGATAGAGGCAGAGGCAGGAAAATCTCCCCAAAGCTCACAGGACAGCTAACTTACAGTATACTAGTCAGCAGCAGAAACAGCTGCCTGTCACTCCAGTCCCAGGGATCAGAGCCCCTGAAGGTCCCTACACACACACACACACACACACTCACACCCTCAACCCAAAGGTATGACTTAAGTCCAAATGCCATGAAGGTGTGTCCAACCTTTTGACACTGCCGCATGACTCTATCACCTACAAAGTTCATGCTATGTGCAAGGAGCACACCATCCAGTTGAAGGAAAAATTCCATTTTAAGTAAGTTTACAGTTTTTCTTGGGTCCACAGCTGTCCTTGGCTCCATGCAGCCCCATGATTTATTTCACCCACTGGAGTCATCCTCTCGACCAATGAGAGCGAGCAGAGGGGAGTAAGACACTCATGGGGGAGGCATCAAGGGCTGATACAGGCTGCCCTGAGTGCTGCCTTCCCCTGTGTTCCATCACAGGACACAGTTCTGACCAACTCACAACACGCATGCAGATGAACTAGAAATAAACACCTGTTACTTTAAGTCATCAGAACACGGACTGTTTATTAGTCCAGCATTGCCAAAACCACTGTGACTACTAACTGTCTGGACGGCTCAGCGGTCCCCAGAACCCGCGACTGGCAGCTCACAACCACCTGCAATTCCAGCTCCAGGAGATCTGACGCCCTCTTCTGGCCTCCTTAGGCACCTGCACACCCATGCATAGAGAGCATACACACGCACGTAATTAATGTTAAAAGAATGGAATCTCTGCACACCTATCTTACAGCCACAGTGAAGGAACCAATCGGTCCCTATTCACCCTGTCCGCGACCCCTTCTGTACTTCACATGTAACTCTATGTCGACATGTTGTTGATCACTCTCTGGATTTCCCTCAAGACAAGAATCCTGCCTTTTCATCTACAGTTCTCAAATAACAAGGGTAACAAGGACACACAATTAAACCAACAAAAAAGACGTAATTCTCTTGGAAGCAAAACAAAAACCTGAACAGGTTGTACAACTGGTTCAAACAGGTTTATCCCTCATTAGTCATCAAGTGAATGCAAATTAAAAACCACAGTGAGATGCACTTCCAGCAGTCAGAGGAAAAGTCAGAAGGACTGGGAGCAGCGTAGCTGGCCACTCTCTGGTTGGATCTGAGGCTCCCTCCACAGGAGGGAAGCCAGGCCTGGTATGCAGTCTGGTCAATAGCGGTGACTCCGAGGTCAGGAGCTATGGGGGGAACTGACTGCGGTTGTTTTACTAAACACCCTGTCAGGTTACCTGCTAAATGTTTTATACCTGGACCCGGGCTTCCCTCAACCTCGGAGAAGCTTCTGTGTGCAGTGGTCACCAGTTAACGCAGAGGCTCAAACTGTCAATGTGCCGAGAACAGTGGCCGCTGGGTGCTCAGCCCTAAATGGTGCCCTACGGCAACCCCGGAAGAGGAAGCAGGAAGAACGGAGGAGCCGTCAGGTGTGGTAAATCTCTGTCTCGGGCCAGTCTGGTCTACATAGCAATTTCTGGGCCAGACAGGCCACACAGTAAGACCCTGTCTCGAAATAAAATAAAATTGAAAGTGAGTGAGATAAAATAAAATGGAATGGAAGAGCTGGCTGATGGGGAGGAGGGCTGTCCTCTGGACTTGACATGGCCACTGTCCTCACAGACTCACTCTGGCTGTGGTCACCCGCATAAGAGCAAGTCGACAAGATCAGTCAGCATTCCACTGGGCAGCACCAATTAGCCTCAGTAGGCTGGGGTCGGAGAGACAGAGAGAGAAGGTGGAAAGAGAGAGGGAGGAGGGAGAGTGTTGGGGTACCTGGGGGAGTGGAGGAATGGAAAGGAAAGTTGGGGTGTATATGGTCAAGATACATTGTTTACATGTATAAAATTATTAAAGAATAAATAAAAGACATCCTATTGAAAAAAAAAAAAAGACCAGGAACGCAGGCCGGTGAGGCGGGGCAAGCCTCTCCTCCCCCAAAGGGAGTGTGAACATGTCCAGTCACTGAGCAGCGTGGTAAAGGTATACTCACCATGCCATCCCACCATCAACCCCTTAGACCTTTATCCAAGAGGGATGAAATCCCGTGCCCCGTGTCCATGCTGGACCATGTTCAATCACCACACACTGCACAGCTAAGCTAAGCACCAGCTGTTTCACAGTTCTCCCAGGGCAGAGCCTGAGTGCAGCCCAGCTGGAGTCTCTGCTTCAGAATGTCTCAGAAGACCCCTGTGGTGGCCAGCTTTAGTCACGAGACACAACCTAGAGCCACTTGAGGAGGGTATCAACAGGGACCAAGTAGGTTGGTCTGTGAGCATGTCTGTGGGGGATTGTTGTGGCTGAGTTAAGTATGTGGAAAGACCCAGCCCTCTGTGGGTGACGTCATTCCCTAGGCAGGTGATCCTGGACTGTTCATTTCTCTCTGCTCTTGGATGTGGATGTTCTGTGACTAGCTGTTTGAAGTTCCTGCCTTGACTTCTCCACAATGATGGACTGTAATCTGGAATTGTAAACAGAAATGAAACCCTTTCTCCCCTAAGTTGCTTGTTGAGAGGGCACTTTATGACTGAAACAGAAACAATATTAGAACAATCTCCGTCAGGCACTGAATGAGGTGAGGGGCTCACTGAAGATTGGCTAGGGAAGGAAGCATTTCCAAACCCCCGAGATGTTGCTAGGATTCAGTTTCTCTCTAGTAGTTGACTGAAGGCCGAAGGCCACCCAGTTCCATGCCATGTGGTCCTCTCCAGAAGGTGGGTTTTTCATCAAATCTGTAGGAGTCCATGATGGCTGCTAAAGAAGCCAGAGAAATATAGCATCCTTGCTCTGTATGCTACATGGATGCAGTACCCACAGAGGTCAGAAGAGGGTGTTGAATCCCCTGGAACTAGAGTTACAAGTGGTTCCTGAGCTGGGTGGGTGTCAGAAATCAAACCTGGGTCTTCTGCAAGGGCAGCCAGTGCTCTTAATCACTCAGACATCTCTCCAGCCCCCATAGAGGATTTAACTGTTTGAGGTTTTGATTGTGTTCCTTTGCTTTGCTTGGGGAATATTTGGTACAGACATCAGATAGAACAATTCTGATTTAAAGTTTCTCACTTCTGTTGAGACAGGGATAGGATGCCACTCACAATAGCACAGGGGAAATGTCAGGGATGCAGGACATTCAGGGTGACACTGTGCAATGAGATTCACAGCCCTTTCTGAACACCGTTCAAAGGTGATGGCCTAAAAGGAAGACTTTGCTCAAAGATGACTTTGAAACTTTTGAGGCGTGGGCCACAGAGATGACTCAGCAGAAAACGGGGCTTGCATCCTAAGCTGACAGCCTGAGTTCAGTCCCCTGGCCACACGCTGTCCTCTCACCTCGGCATACGCACTGTAGAATATGTGCAGGGACACACTCGAGTACATAAACCAATAAATGTAACTTGAAAGTATGAGGCTTTCCTGATTATAATGATGATGATGATGATTAATAGCAGGTGGGCTGCAGAAATGGAGGCTGGCACTGGGGAGCGCACATGGGCATGCGCGCACACACACACGTGCACACACACACACACACACACACACACACACACACACACACACACTGAGCCAGGAAACGTGCTGCGGCCAATTTGCTTGCCTGGTTCTGTCTACACACTGTTGGAAAGGAAATTTAAAAAGGGAAAGTTTTTTAATGAACAAGGTTGTCTTCTAGGGAGAATTAACTTCCGAGAGCAGGAAGGTAGAGGTGTGTGAGGAAAGATTCAGGTTTTATCTTAGTGCCCAAAACAGAGCTCATGATGACAGCTTCGCGGGTGTCCACTGTGGTACTTGTGTGGTATTTGGTCCTCCCCAGCTCACTCTTTTCCCCTGCTGAGTCCTGTCATTCGTGTTCCTCCCCACAGAGTACCTCTTCCTTCTGCTTTCCAGACACACACACACACACACACACACACACACACACACACACACGGAAAAATATTTTTGTTTCCCTCTATACATATGGGTAAATTGTTTTTTAGTGTATGTATATATGTTGTGTGTACATGTGTGCGGTGTGTAGACACATGTGCATGTGGAAGCCAGAGGTCAGCCTTGGGTGTCTTCCTCTGTCTCTCCACTTTATTTTATTTTTAATGTGCATTGGTGATTTGCCTGCATGAGGGTGTTGGGTTCCCTGGAACTGGAGTTACAGACAATTGTGAGCTGCCATGTGGGTGCTGGGAATTGAACTCTGGTCTTCTGGAAGAATGGCCAGTGCTCTTAAATGCTGAGCTGTCTCTCCAGCCCCTCCACATTTTTATTGTTTTTTAATTCTGTGTCTGCACATGTGGGTATTCACATGTGAATGCAGATGCCCATGGAGATCAGAGGCATTAAATGCCCTGAGGCCATACTTAGAGGCAGTTATCAGCTGCCCAATGTAGGTGCTGGACACCAAACTTAGGTCTTCTCAAGAGCAGTAATGCTCTTCTCTTAAGCACTGAGCCGTCTCTCCAGACCTTCCAGCTTCATTTTTGGTAGGCTCTCTCATTGACCCTGGAGGTTATGCATTCAGCTGCGCAGTAAGTTTTCAGAGACCAGGCCCTGTCCCTGCCCTTCCCTGACCCAGCACTGGGGTTATAGTCCTGAGGTTAAAAGCCACTACAACTGGCTTTTTACATGGACGATGGGTATCTGAACTCAGGTCCTCATGTTTGGTACAGCAGGCATTTTACCAACTGAGCCATTTCCCCAGGCTCATATATTAATTCCAGGTTCCTCGTATGCTGGTAAACACAGAGTATCCACCTCCCTGAGTCTGGCTTGTTGCACTTAACATGATGAACTCCGATTCTGTGCACTTTCCTGCAAATGATTTCATTCATCTTTATGACTCAATAGCATTCCATTGTGCAGCCTGGTAGATATTCAGTGGGCAAAAAGCACCTGCCATGCCAGCCTGAAGACTGCCTCTGCCCTCAGAACCCATTTGAGACGTCACTGGCTACACAGTGAGACCTGGTGGCATCTGAAAAGCCAGCACTCCTATTGTGAGATGGAGACCAGCGAGGAGAGTCAGCCGGAAGCTCAAGGACCAGCTAACTTAGAGTACAGGGCCCAGCAGCCAAAACAAGAGCCGTCCTGTCTACACATGGCGGGAAATAAGAGCTGCCTCCCACACTGTCCTCTGAACACCACAGGTGCCCACATCTAGTGCACACACACACACACAACACACACACACACAACACATAATAAATAAGTAAACATTTAAAAATCATTACACGCCGGGCATGGTGGTGCACGCCTTTAATCCCAGCACTTGGGAGGCAGAGGCAGACAGATCTGTGAGTTCGAGGCCAGCCTGGGCTACAGAGTGAGTTCTAGGAAAGGCGCAAAGCTACACAGAGAAACCCTGTCTCTAAAAACAAAAAGAAAAAAAAGAAGAAGAAGAAAAATCATTACACTGTGTATACTGACCACATATTGTAACCATCCATCCTACTGATGGGCATCTAGACTAATTCCACATCCTGGGCACTGTGAACAGCACAGTGGTAAACACAGCTGTGCAGGCAGGCACCTCTGGGTGACCCTGATGTAGAGTCCTCCAGGAGTGGCACAGGTCAGGCTTCTTCAACACTTCTCATTAATGACCAGGTACATAGGCTTATAAAATGATACACAAATAACACACTGGCAGATGATAAATTTAAATCACAAATAAATTTATCTTAAAACAATTCTGTGGTGTACACACATTTTACCACTTATTAAAGAGAAAGGAGTTTGCATATTAATGAGAGAGATTTGGACTTGTTTCTTCTTTTTGTTTCCTAGGTCATGTAGCTTTTTTTCCTTCAAGACAGGATTTCTCTGTATAACAGCCCTAGCTATCCTAGAACTTGCTTTGTAGACTAGGCTGGCCTCAAACTCACAGAGATCCACTGCCTCTGCCTCCCAAGTGCTGGGAATAAAGGCGTATCCCACCATGCCTGACAGCCATGTTTCATGCAGAAGCTTTTTGATTTCATAATTCTCATCTGTCAACCCTTGTGATTGTTTACTGAGCTAATGGAGTCCTTTTCAGAAAGTCCTTGCCTCTGTCTGTACAAAATTGTTTCCAGACAAAAAGAACGAATTATTTGGAGTTGAGCAATACTGTGTGTCTTAAAGATGGCTGGGCGAATCTTTAATCATAATAAATTCACTTGAGGAGAACAAACAGTTATTATGGTATATAGTTCAGAGACACGAGTCCCCAAATCAAAATGCCAGGAGGGATGCAAGCCACTGGTTTTCCATCTGTGGTTCCAGATGCTGTCCTCTATCCCACATGCATTTATCAATCCCCGGCTGAGGGCTGTGTGGTTCAGCCCTCCATGGTTCTGGCAACTCTGCTTCCCAGCTGCCCTCCTAGCACCCCGAATTCCAATGACCCTGATTCACTCCGGGCTTCAGCCCTCTGCCCCACCACATCAGACTTCAGAACAGACTGCAGTGGTCCGTTCTGTATGTGATAATGAAGGCTCATGTGCTGGAAGGTTTTGTTTGTTGTTTTGATT